CATTTGACGGAACATTTGTGACGACTTATTCGCGACGACTATCGTCGCTAATATATTAGCGACGACATTTAAAAACTTTGTCGTCGCAAATATACTATTTACGTTGGGTTTTTTGTGACGACTAACTTGCAACGTCATGTCGTCAAAAATAAAGTATTTACGACGATAATGTAGTTATTTATGACGACAGTCAGTCATCGCAAATAAGCTTTTTGTTGTTGTACTTCCCCACTCATGACCCCGCTGCCCACCTTCAACTGTGACTCTTTTTCACCATCATGATGCGTCGGATAACAGAGCCAAGCCCAGCGATCCACCACCCACGTCCCTTCTCACAAACGTATTTCATTATCCCACCCTTCTCCTTTCGGGGAACTCGACCAAGTCACCCTCCTAATCCTAGGCCGTCGCCTTAAACCCAGGCCTCCACCTTTCTTCGTACTGGCTTTATGAGGTAATTGAGAATCAAGATAATCCTACTCTCTTTTGCCTCCTTGCTGATTGTGAGCCCATAAATTTTCAAGAAGGAGTACAAAGCAAGAAGTATTGGAGGAATGCTTATGAAGAAATCAAAGTGATTGAGAAGAACGACACATGGGAACTAGCTTCACTTCCAAAGGGGCATAAGGCTATTGGTGTAAAGTGGGTGTACAAGGCAAAAAAGAATGCTAAGGGAGAAGTTAAGAGACACAAGGTAAAACTAGTAGCAAAAGGTTACAATTAAAGAACCGAAATCAACTATGATGAGGTATTTGCTCATGTCGCTCACTTGAAAACTATAAGACTATTTACTTTTTTAGCCGCTCAAAATAGGTAGAAGATTTTTCAAATAGATGTGAAGTCCGCCTTCTTGAATGGAGTTCTTGAAGAAGCCTATATCAAGCAACCACTGGGCTATGAGATGAAAGGACATGAAGACAAAGTTCTAAAGTTGAATAAGGCCCTATATGGCTTAAAGCAATCATCGAGAGCATGGAATAGTTGAATCGACAAGTACTTTTAAGACAACAACTTCGCAAATTGTTCTCATGAGAATGCCCTCTATGTCAAAGTCAAAGAAGAAGATGTCTAGGTCGTGTGCTTGTAATTTGATGACTTGATATTCACAGGAAACAATCCCAGTATGTATGAAGAGTTCAATAAAACAGTGATAAAAGAATTCGAGATGATAGCTAATGGGCTTATGTCCTAATATCTTGGCATAGAAGTTAAACGAGAGGAAGGCGGTATTTCATTTCTCAAGAAGGTTATGCAAAAGAGGTGCTAAAGAAGTTCAAGATGGATACCTACGAGCCCATAAATACCTTGGTGGAGATGGAGTCAAGTTAACAAAGTATGACGAAGGAGAAAGAGTAGATCCAGTCCTTTTCAAGAGTTTGGCTGGAAGTCTACATTACTTGACATACACTAGACCCAACATTCTTTTGCAGTTGGGCTCATTAGTTGCTACAGAGAGATTCTAACTACCACCCACCTAAAGACTGCCAAGAGAATTCTTCCTTATATCAAAGGTACGGTTGACTTTGGCTTATTTTTTTCATCATCTAATCATTACAAGCTTGTTGGATATAGCGATGGCGATTGGGCTACAGTTAGGATGACAGAAAGAGCACCAAAGGATTTGTGTTCTTCATGGGAGACGCTACTTTCACTTGGATGTCAAAGAAGCAACCCATTATCACCCTATCCACCTTTGAAGCTGAGTACGTAGCAGCCACGTCATGTGTTTGGTTGAATGAGATAAACAGCAACACGAAGAGCCGACTAGAATTCGTGTGGATAATAAGTGTGCAATGACATTAGAAAAGAATTCAGTATTCCATGATAGAAGTAAGCACATTGATACGTGTTATCATAACATAAGAGAACCTATTGCAAGAAAGGAGGTGCAAGTAGAGTACGTGAAGACTCAAGATCAAGTGACAGATATTTTCATTAAACCTCTCAAGGTGAAGACTTTATTAGATTGAGAAGTTTGCTTGGAATAGCAAATCAAGTTTAAGGTGGGGTGTTAGAAGTTAAACTTGATTTTTGGGCTTAATTTTTTTTAGGTTTTATAGTTAATAATTAGTTATTGGGCTTAGAGTTTAGTTGTCCAAATAAGGGCCCAAAGTGTTTTAAGTTCTAGAAACAAATTGTAGAGAATTCCATGGAATAATCTATAGATAGTTGTAGTAGCCTCATATAGTTGATTTTTGTTAAAGAGAAGATGGAAAAGAATTCTAGAGTCATTTGTACCCATTAGATTATATGTATGTTGGCCCAATTTAAACCGTTTGTTAAGGAGGAGCCACTAGTATAAATAGGGGTGAAATCCTTCCATTTTGTATCAAGCCAAAAAATTAAGAGAAGTAATACAAAGAGTCCTCGTCCTTCATAAATCTCAAGTTTTTATACTAGCTTTTTTCTAGGTCTAAAATTTTTCCATTTTCAACACGGCGATGGTTGAACTCTGTGTTGACAAAGGTCACGTAAAAACCAAGGTGAAGGAGTTTTGCCAGTTTCAACATTGGGCTAATGTGGCCTTGAGTTGGGAAAGGAACACAAATTAACTGCATTAGGACGGGGTTTAATTTGTTCATTAGTATAACTTACACGTTCTGCTGAAGTGCTCATCTTGTGTGATTTGTTGTTGTTGTTGTTGTTTTTTTTTTTTTGTTTTTTTTTTGTTTTTTTTTTGTTTT